ATTAGGAACTGCTGGAAGGCTTGGAAAGTGTATGAAAGCTGCACCACCAGTGAGCAAAGGCTATAGAATAGTCAGAAAAAAGGTACATTGAAGAAACATCGTCCAAAATAAGATTCAGGTCTCAAAAAAGGGACAAGACAGAGGACGAAAGAAAGAATGCACCAAAAGAAGAAAGAGCAAAAAAGAGCAGAACATACAAGAAACATTTTATAACATATCATATCTTTACCGCGCTTTTGTTGGGCTCAAGACCCAAAAAGACCCAAGACCTTCAAGTCATCAGTATTTGAGGCTTCTTGTTGGATGCTTCTTTAGCGCTTTTATGTAGAACAGGATGATAAAGGATCAAGGAAGGCAAGGCCCCCTTTAAAGAGGCCACTTTAAAACTTCTCTCTATATAGAGGTAGCGGCTTAGTAGTGCTTAGTTCTATACTAGCAGTGTTTTTGTGCTAAGAGCTACTGGCATAGTGCGGCAGTGACATCTAAGATCAAAAGGCCTTAGGCACCCTTAGGAAGGCAGAGGCGCTTTGTGTCAAAGACCGAGCTCATAGCTTCAAGTAAAGTACTTTTTTAAGTCTCTGGCAGCATCCACCTCATCAAACCTTCCGACAATTTGCAAGTTGGCAACCTACAGCCTCATAAACCGGGATCATATGCATTCTCAATGCTTTCAAAGCTCGTAGGTTGGCAACCGACAGTCTCTTGAATCACTCTAATCTACCACATCAATGCTTGGTGACATTTGTAGGTTGGCAACCTACAGCCTCATCAACCAGCATCATTTGCATTCTCACTGCTTTCAAATATCGTAGGTTGGCAGCCTACAGGCTCATTAATCAGGATCTGACGCAGTCTCAACGCCCTTGAAGCTCATAGCTCAGCATCCATTCTTTTAACTCATTATCATCCACCTCATCAAAGCTTGCGACAATCTGTAGGTACACTGTAGGTTGGCAACCTACAGCCCCATAAACCAGCATCTTATGCATTCTCATTGCTTTCAAAGCTTGTAGGTTGGCAGCCTACAGGCTCATTAATCAGGATCTGACACAGCCTCAATGCCCTTAAAGCTCATAGCTCAGCATCCATTCTTTTAACTCATTATCATCCCCTCATCAAAGCTTCTGGCAATTCGTAGGTTGACAACCTACGGCCTCATAAACTGCTGTCATCATATGCGCTTTCAATGCCATTCAATCCCATAGGATGGCCACCGACAGTCTCTTGAATCATTCATAGCTTCAATCTGCAGCGACATAAACCAGCATCATATTTATTTTCAATCTTCCCCAGCATGGCATTCCCAACAAAGCACTCAGTGAGTGTCGGGGAGACTTCTGTTTCTAAGAGCCAGTTTCCCAAAAAATTGAAAGAAATAAGAATCGAGCAGCTCTCTTTGTTACTGTTTGTCTCTCCCGAGGCCGGATGGAGAGTTTGAGCTCATGAGTTACCGGCTGAACACCCACGTGAAACCTTTGATTTGGGTCGAGGCCGGAAAGCTATCCACACCGCCTCTGCACTGCGAACGCTCAGTTTTCACTGGTAGGTTGCAGGCCATTGCTAGTAGGTTGCAGGCCATCGTTGCAAGACTGACCATGCTATTGGTCTCCAATCAAAGCATGGCTCAGGAACCTACCCTAAAGATGCCTCTAACGTATGATTCACCGCCTCAGTGAGCATAGGAACTGTATTTTTTATGAATTTGGTGTTGATTTGATTTCGATCCACGTTTGCTTGATCGTAGGCTGTTGTGGATCCAGGACACTCTAGGTCGCGAATTGAGCTACTCGCCAAACATGTTTCTTGGAGAGTGCGGTGCTGCAACTGTACTGAATACCAAGGTATATGATCAAAGCAAAGTCACAGTTCAAGTCGTGGGACGCTCAGGGTAGAGCCTGCAAAGCATCACGCTCGTGGCTTCATGTTTTGACTAGCGATGGCTTCGATGGACTCGCTGAGGCGAAGTGTGGCAAACAATGTGGAGATTCACATTCCCGTGCCCTCTGATGTGGATTCGCCTTCCTTCAAGACGTCCATCGGCACTGTGAGATACATTCCTGATCAGGCATCTATGAATGAAACGGATGCCAAAACAACGGATGAAACTCGATGTTTTCTGACCTTGCAGGATTGCATAGTCTGGAGCATTAAGCAGTTCCAGGGCCACAGACTCAAGCATTAAGCAGTCTAAGGCTTTCGTTTTGGCACATCTTTTTCAGATTCGGTCTTCTGTTCTGCTTTCAATTCTCCTAGGTCAAAAAGACTTCATCATGACAGCGAACTTCGGACTACCCTCTGTTGGTGCAGAGAACAGAGATGCCTACATGAAGGAGCAGCAGTACAGAGAAAACGTCAAATACTGCAAAGTGCTTGCCATCGCTCTTAGGTTAAAAGGCCATCGCTCTTGGGTTTTAGGCCATTGCTAAGAGCAAAGAACAGGAAGAAAGGTCCAATATAGTTTGCTAGTAGGTAAGGTATACAATATATAAGGACGCTACTAGGGGCTCCTGCCCGAGCAAGGATGCTACGAACGGAACATGCCAATCCAAACAGAATTTACACGGAGACCCGTTTGCAGCGGTCCATCTCACCGTGAAGTCTGCGAGGCTCCCATGTCCGTGAAGTTTGAGATCCCATACTTCACGGTGTCAGGCGTGACTGTAAGGCCTGGGTTTCGCAAAGGGATCAGCAAGAGAAGTTATCTCAAGATGTTCAGGACTTGTGCAACCACGCAACCCCAGACTCACAGCATGTCATCAGGTATCTCAAGATTGTTGAGAAGTCTGGCTACCAGGCACGGGCATTGCGAGAGCTCAGGACAAAGCAAGAATCATGGAAAAACGATGGTGAAAGACTTGTGAAGAAAGTCGCGTTAAACATTTAGAGGGCTAACAGTTGGCCGCACTGGTTGGAGACAGAGAGCGCTGAAAAAAAAACTGATCCAGGCTCCCAAGGTTAAAGAATATATCGACAGGGACCAAGCAAGGAGCAAAGTATCACAAGGACCTAAGACGTTCACTCTCCGGAAAGAAGAATTGCATATTTTTGAGAGGTCAAAGATAAGTTTAGTAGCCATCATGCTTCATTTCACTCAATATTGGGCATTGGGCACTTGTTATGTAAACAAGTATATATTTTGCCTCCCGCATTGTGTCCTTCAACCAGAATCCCCATACTGTAAATCACCTGCCTTGTGAAGAAAGCAACATCACAGGTCTCTCTACTGATTTTCGCCCTCATCAGATGTTTCTTTTCATTCCCTTTATTCTCATGCTGCTGCATTATCCATTCCAAGAGCATTTCTACTGGTGAGAACACCGCCGCCTACTACAAAGAATGCTGCCACTGCCAAAGCGCTTTGCAAGCATCAGCATTCTAAGAATCATACTGGACATAGTGGGCATCTCATTGCTGAAATTTTTGTGCAGCTCTTTGTGTTGTGGTTGATTGGTGGCGCAGGCCCTTCCATGGGTGCGATATATCACCCAGAATGGCGACTACCAGCTTCGAATGGCCAGACCCCAAAAAGAAATGATGCTGGCCCTACTAGCAAACTATATTGGACGTTTCTTTTCTTTTTTTCTTTGTCTCTATTAGCAATGGCCTCCGACCAAAGAGCGATCGCCGCCTCCAACCTACTAGCGATGGCCCGGTCAACTGTTTTGTCGATGTGACTCTGATGATTCTGGCCCGTTGTCTCTTCATTGCAAAGGCACGCTGGATTCCAAAGGCAGTTGCAGTGTTTGGTGTTTGTCCTCTCCAGTGCCTGATGTGGAGACCGAGGTGTGACGAAGGAGCAGTTTGTGGTGTCAAAGTGTTATCCTCAGCTGCATGGAAAGCACACCTCCAAAGCTTTTCTCCGTTGAAGTCAACTCTCTCCGTTGAGGCGACTGTCCGTCGACTGGCGACTACCGCTCCTGCTCACAGAACTCGTGCCGCGTGCAGAACTCGGTCCAGCGAAGAGCCAAGCAAGCACAAAAACATGACAAGTGAGCTTGGTAGTGCCTACTTAGAAGCGATGGCTTCCAACCTAACTAGCGATGGCCTCCAAGTGTTTTTGGACCAATCGAATCGTTTGGCTCTCTCTGTGTTTTACACATCTAGATTGGTTCAAGTGCTGCGACGAAATGTTGAGAGCGACCTCAGCGCAGCCACAGCGCTCACACTGCGGAATGCCTGCGCGATGTGATTTGGAAAGATGAATAAAGAGAGAAATAGTCTAATGAGCCTTGAGTTGGTTATTGCTTTGGACATATGCTTTGTCAATTCGCAACGAGCGCTGGCTAATCAGCTCGCCGCTTGGAAAAAAAGGTTTACACGTCAGCGCATGACATAACATGTGACGATGTGGCATACGGTCAAATCCTGAGCCATAAGAAGAACATCTATGGTCTATGGTTCTCTTTTTTGATATTTTCAATTTTGTGGTCAGATCAAGTCCTCCCAAGATATGCTGGAAACGCAACCAAAGTATTCTGTTCGCTGATATTTATCAGAGGTGTATTGTCCTTTGATCCAAAACTATGTGGGAGGAAAGTGGCACTCTCAACGGCTAGTCACCAAAGATGCCTGGGACATGTTTTGATGATGTAACGAATCTCAGTGTTCTTGTTTTTGGACGACGTTTTTCACTCTTCAAGCCTCAAGCGTTTATCGATGTTCTGCCCCATGTGTCCCAGTTGTTTGGACTTCTGGGCCTCAAATGCGAGTCAACTAGGGCGGCAGGAGGCAGACAACATCCACAGGGAGTGAGGACAAAGAATTTCTTTCTCGCAAACGTGTCAAAGGGGGAGATAGAACATCAACCTCTGCCGCTCTCTATGAGCCACAGATCATGCCGCTGGGGACCATGCCACTGTTTAGCAATCTTCCCCATTCGTTTCATACAGACCATGTTTGTGCCGACAAAAGTGATACAGGATTGTTGAAGTAATACAATTCTACAATGACCATCGTTCCCCCCATAATGATCACCCCCTCATGAAATCCTTTTGAAGCAGGAGCATGGCAAGATCTTTGAATTCTTGGACCAGGACAAGAATGGTGGGATTCTTAGGACCTGCGTCAGGCATTTCTACTAGGAACAAGAACGCTACTAGGGGCTCCTGGCCTTACTACTAGGAACAAGAAGCTATTAGGGGCTCCTGGCCTTACTACTAGGAACAAGAAGCCATTAGGGGCTCCTGGCCTTACCACTGGGAACAAGAAGCTATTAGGAGCAAAACGCTATTAGGGGCTCCTGGCCTTACTACCAGGAACAAGAAGCCATTAGGGGCTCCTGGCCTTCCCACTAGGAACAAGAAGCTATTGGGGGCTCTTGGCCTTACTACTAGGAACAAGAAGCCATTAGGGGGCTCCTGGCCTTCCTACTAGGAACAAGAAGCTATTAGGGGCTCCTGGCCTTACTACTAGGAACAAGGAGCTATTAGGGGCTCCTGGCCTTACTACTAGGAACAAGAAGCCATTAGGGGCTCCTGGCCTTACTACTAGGAGCAAGAAGCTACTAGGGGCTCCTGGCCTTACTACTAGGAAGAAGCCGTTAGGGGCCCCTGGCCTTACTACTAGGAACAAGAAGCTATTAGAGGCTCCTGCCTTATATACTAGGAGCAAGAAGCTATTAGGGGCTCCTGGCCTTACTACTAGGAACAAGAAGCCATTAGGGGCTCCTGGCCTTAATACTAGGAGCAAGAAACTATTAGGCGCTCCTGGCCTTACTACTAGGAACAAGAAGCTATTAAGAAGCCATTAGGGGCTCCTGGCCTTACTACTAGGAGCAAGGAGCTATTAGGGGCCCCTGGCCTTACTACTAGGAACAAGAAGCCATTAGGGGCCCCTGGCCTTACTACTAGGAACAAGAAGCCATTAGGGGCCCCTGGCCTTACTACTAGGAACAAGAAGCTATTAGGGGCTCCTGGCCTTATTGCTAGGAGCAAGAAGCTATTAGGGGCTCCTGGCCTCACTACTAGGAACAAGAAGCTATTAGGGGCTCCTGGCCTTACTACTAGGAACAAGAAGCTATTAGGGGCTCCTGGCCTTACTACTACGAGCAAGAAGCTATTAGGGGTTCCTGGCGTTACTACTGGGAACAAGAAGCTATTAGGGGCCCCTGGCCTTACTACTAGGGACAAGAAGCTATTAGGGGCACCTGGCCTTACTACTAGGAGCAAGAAGCTATTAGGGGCCCCTGGCCTTACTACTAGGAACAAGAAGCTATTAGGGGCTCCTGGCCTTACTACTAGGAACAAGAAGCTATTAGGGGCTCCTGGCCTTACTACTAGGAACAAGAAGCCATTAGGGGCTCCTGGCCTTACTACTAG